GTTGCACATGTTTCCACTTGATTCCAATGGGATCCCTGTTCACCAATCCAAAGGCAGAATCTGGCCCACTGTATGCCAGAACTACAAATGAAAAATGTTTTTTGCCACAGTTCCATAAAGAAGCTAATTAATTACTCACTCTCTGAAGGCCTTTCTAATCAACTGGCTCAGTGCAGTTCTGAATTTGACAATCTGCATCCCATTATCAAAACTCTGACATATACCATCCGACCCAAAGGGTGGTATGTGCAGTCAAATACAGTCATGATCCCTAAGGAAAACATTTTTGGGCTCCATTCAGCTGTGCAATTTTATTGGCAAGATTTCTTTGTACCTTTCAGCTCCATTCAGAAGCAGTTTCCTGCAATGCAACCAGCTTTTGTTTGAAGACAGAAGCTTTAATCTTGTGCTGAAAATATCCAGCTCCTCCAGGCACCAATGCTTGTTTGGTCACATCTGGAGTACCCATGACCGGTAATGTGATAGCAAGTGTTTGTCCCACCTATTCCTTCACTGCTATGCCTAGGAATATTACACTAATACTAGACAAGCTTGACTTGTTTTCTTACTCGATGAGGAAAGGGCAAGATCCTACAAATGTTATTTTTAATGTATTGACCCAAGACATTGTCTGGATATACCACAAGGAGGACAGGAGACTTGTTATGGGTTTTAATCAGGCCGCAACTTTATTATATGTCTGGGACTACCCGGCAGATAAAGTGTACAGTGCAGGCAAATCCATGCTTATTCAAAGCAATTCTCTGGGGCTTTCACCAGCCCCCTTTTGTTTAATCCATGCTTATTCAAATTATTTTTCCGGGGCTTTCACCAGCCCCCCTTTGTTTCCATCCAGGTCCCCCAGCCGACCCATGGCTTGGACCTTACCATCCACCAGCCTTGTAAAAGGGTTAAGGAGGGCTATGAGAACCTGAACCAAAACTTTTTTAATTTTATGCATCTTCCCATCCAGAACCACAGACAAGAAGTGCAAAAATACTACATGAAAAACTGTGCTTGCGGTATTTCTGTCTTAACAAGGAGTGCCAAAAAGGTTGCATCAAAAGCCTGTTCTCATGAGAAGTCTTGCTCAGTTTTGCAGGCCCAAGTGATTAGGACAGAGCAAGTGAGAACCCTGACTTTTTGAGGTTCACTTATCACTACTACAACTAGCAACAAAATCATTGGGATAAAAACAAGAACAAAAAAATAGGGTGGAATAAGATGGTGCAAAAATAGTGAAAAGTAAGACAGATGTATCAAAGTAGAAAACATCAAGCAGAGAAGAAATGCAAGTTATACAATCTAATCTTTTTTAAATTATTGAACTGGAGAATAATGAGATAATTGCACACCAAATTAAGTTAACTGATACATGTGATCAGTTATGACATGAGTTATGAACATCCCATAGTTATAGCAAAACTGCACAAGATTTTGTAGTAAGTACTGTTCAGTATACAGTAGTTTCACTGAAAATAATGGTAACTATAAACTACCCCATCATATAATAATTATGCAAACAACTCATGTTACCATGCTGGTTAAAGAAGGCTAACAGCCAGTATTGAATTACTGACCTCACAGCGTTTGCAAAAGAAGGTCCGAGCAGATGAGGCTAAGAAATGCATTTACCAAAGCAGGAAGAAGGAATTCTGAAGGGAATCAGAATCATGTCAGAACAGGTGGTCAAGAAATTAAAGTACGGACAAAACTCCAGGAGCAGACAGAATAATCCCAGAAGTCTGAAGAAAGTCACAGGAAAAAAAGAGGGATTTCATTAGTGAGTATAGTTAAACTAGGAATAGTTTAAAATAGGTTCTCTTTTCGGAAACTTGCATTTTCAGGATCAGTTTAATATTCAAAGAACCTGGTTAAAGTTTCTGGCTTGCTTGCTGAGGAGCCCACCCTCCTCTGAATACACTAAAAAGAGTGACCAAATTTCTAAATACTTATCCTTTTTCTGGTGCTTCTTTTATGTAGTACTTGGTATGAAAGCTTTTCCATACAAGAACAGTATTTTGCACAATTTCAAAAGGGGAGAAGTCACATTTGTCCAATAATTAAATAGGTTTTAAAATTTAATTTTTCTTCAAACCAAACAAGCTGTAGTCATATCTCCAAATGCACATGCAGAGTGCAGAAAAGCATGCCCAATTTAAGCCAAATCCCCTAAATGCACACACAAACTGAGGTAAGGATGCATATACACAACATCACACATTGAGTATTAATCAAAACATAAGAACATAAGAATGGCATAAGAATGTTAAGTTTATCAATTAATTCCAAAACCACCTCTAGTGACACTTCAATCTGTGACAGTTCCTCAGATTTGTCACCTACAAAAGCCGGCTCAGGTTTGGGAAGCTCCCTAACATCCTCAGCCAGGAAGACTGAAGCAAATAATTTGTTTAGTTTCTCCGCAATGACTTTATCGTCTTTAAGCGCTCCTTATCTATCTCGATCATCGAGGGGCCCCACTGGTTGTTTAGCAGGCTTCCTGCTTCTGATGTATTTAAAAAACATTTTGTTATTACCTTTTGAGTTTTTGGCTAGTTGTTCTTCAAACTCCTCTTTGGCTTTTCTTATTATATTTTTACACTTAATTTGGCAGTGTTTATTGAGTTCCACAAATGGAAAGCACTATGGAAATGCAAATTGCTGTGTCAACTTAATAATTGCTGTGTACATACTAACATGATAGGAGCTGTTAGAGTTTATCAAATGTAAGTGTTTTTAAGTCACCTTAATTCCCATACATGATAAACTAATCTAAATACCTGCATGACAGATTCCCCCCCCCCTTTTTTTTAGATCCTATAATGTTACAGTTCTGATTTAAAACCACAAAGGAAGGATTCAACATTAAGTAAAAACATTTAACTTATTTGATGTAATCTAGCAAGCAGAACATATTCTGCCCCTTTGATACACTAACACCACACATTAAATCTAGGAAAGAAGATTTTTTTCTGTCCAAGTAGAAATGTTACACATTGCAGTGATTACAATTACACTATTGAATGCATTAGATTTATTAACCCATAATAGGAAACCTTTACTGAAGCTATACATTCGTGCATACACAATATGGATTATTTCAATGTCCAAGCGCCTGATTGTTCCTATGAATCAAGTACATTAATGTCTAAATAACCTAAATTGTACCTGCAAACAATTGAACCCCTTCTCCTGCCTATTTGGAGACACTATCCATGTCCTTAGCTTATCTTACCCTCTCACTCTACTCTGATGTTGAGAGAACCAACACAGAGTATAGAGGTGTAGAGTGCTTTTAGGGCCTTTAGCACCTATAGAAGTGGGCAGAATTGGTTTCATTTAAGTTCTTTTGGGAATGATATGCTATGCCAATTCATTGAACATTACTGAAATAAGGAGCTTTAAAAATAAATACAGATGTGACCAGTATAATAGTAAGTAACAAAGCATAAGAATCCCAGGTAGTAGCCATTTCATATTCACACTATCGATTTGGAACACGTATTAGGTTTTTGACATCTCATCCGGAGATTTGGAAATTAACAAACTGCATATGAACTTCATGATGGCAAAATTCTGAACAATATTTCTCATTAGGTTCCTGAGAAGCCATCATTCCTTTTTATCCTAGACTTCCAAATATAGACACATCATCCTATATTCTGTATTTGCAGAAAGCATCAGGAAAACAGGGCTGCTGGTTCAATAAAACGTCCATATCTCAATTCCGCTATTGGCCACTGATCAGAATTGTAATTTTAAAAAAATTCTGGCTCCTTATGAATCAGTTTTAGATCAAGGCATCTTTACTGATAAGCAACTTCACATATATCTGTCATCTACAAAGAAAACTCAAATCTAAGACTGCCTGTACTGCTAAAAATACAAATATAGACATATACATGGCATTGTCCAGATGTGTACAAGTAGGAGGAATAGAAAAGGGTTCTAATGTATATAGGATTTCTTCTGGCAAAGCAACAACTAAATTTGTCCTTTTTCATATTTGGATTCATAAGTCACATTTCACACCACTTGTTAAAACTTTCCAATGTTTCTTCTGCCTACTGATACTGGAAACATCAAACATTGAATGCCACTTATTTGCAATTATTAGGTTTCTTTTCTGAACCCCTTCCCATATACCAGAGACTCGAAAAACAAGCTCTCTTTTGCAAATGCAACAGATAAGAGCTTTTTACACATTTTTCTTATCTTATTGCATCAGAGGTTTTAAATAAACATAAACATCACATTTTGCATAAGAGTGCTATCATCTCACAGAAACTGCAGGACATTTACCCTTTATGATGAGAATCCATGCAGCAGATTGTGTAAAGTCAACACAGTACCTCATTTGGACTCCAAAGAAATGACTGTATATCCAACATACAATAATTTATGTTCTACCAACAGAACAGTAGATAACCAATAAGGAGAATAATTTGCATCTCTTAACTGCACATCTGGGCTGATGGGAAAAATTACAGTGTTGCTGGTTAAATGACATGTACTTTAACATTTAATTGAATAAAAGTGAACCACTAAGTCTTACCATCTGTTTCAGCTGAGAAAGAAGAGAGATATCTACATTCCAAAGCTAAAGTGAAGTTGCTTTCTTACTTTTTATTTTTACTTCCATTGTTTAGCTTAAAAATTACTGGGGAGTTTAATTTGACATAGGGATAAACACCTCTTTTGCAAGAAGCTAAATATATGAGGAAATTCACTGAAAGCCATCTTAATTCTGGTCAGAAACTTCCACACAACCTTTCAAAATTCTCTCAGTCGCTATTTTTACAGGTTTACATATAAGTAAAGTATGATAAGGGCACGTATTTTTCCTATCTATGAAAAATATACAGTATATATAAAGTTAACAAGACACCAGACGTTCACAAATCAGATTGCATCAATTATTATTGTAACTCACATAACATATAAGAGACTCCCCAAGATGAATTGCTAAAGTTCACATATTAAGTTGCTGGACTTACCTTGCATTGCCCAGACACACAGACTGCAGTTCCATTTTGATCACATGGCGTGCCGTCTATTACTTTTTCAGCTTGTCTCACGTAGAACCGGTAGCCTATTGCTCGGCAATTCAGTTCACACTTCTGACTTCCCTTCACTAAAGAAAGAAAAAGGCATAAGTTCCTGCTACCAAGTCTACAGATGTGGTTTAAAAAAAGAAATTAAATATTAGGCTAAGACCTTACCCCTGATTTGGAGAGGAAAAAAACCAAGTAGGCAAGTAGTCTATAAATGTCCTATCTATATCAAACAAATATTGGATAGGAAAATATCATTTTTTAACCTCAAGATTATTGCTGGTTTTGGAGAATTCTACAGAAGATTTTTTAAAACAACAGAATAGCTTTTCCAAACACCAGCCTTATAAATCCCTGGCCTTCACTCCAAGTCGTTTGAATGTAATACTGTAGCTGAGAGAGAGACCCAGAAAGAGAGGAACACACACATATTATACAACTAACATGATAAATGCCTAACTTCATGGCTCTGTCACCTGGTACTGATTGTTGCTTCCCTTTCCTGTTCCTATTCCTTTGTCTACATGATTTCTCTTAGGATTAGAAGTCCCTCAGAGCAGAGACTGTGTCTTCCCTTTTGTCAGTCAGTGAACTTGGGAGATATAAAATTAAATAACTAAAACAACAATGGGCCCTAATGAAGAAAGGTCAGCGTAGAATGAAAAACTAAAAATTGGATACTTTGGTTGAACAAAACTCTTCTCTAAGATCCTGACACTAAGACCATGACACAGCAAAACACTTATGTACATACTTAACTTTAAGCGCATACGTAGTTCCATGTTCAATTCATGTGCATAAAGTGCTTTGCTGGATTGGAGCCTAAACCAGACCTTAAATCAAAACTGAGGAAATACATCCTCAAATCTGAGCCCATCAAAATATACTCCAGTACAATTGGGCCACAGCTTATAGGTACCCTTCACAGGCTCATCTGCAATTCTAAAGTCCCAGAGATGGATGATGATAGAGAAAAAGAAAAGAAAAAAAAAGGGAGAAAGTGCAGATTCCACCTTAAATCACATCTAAAGAAGAAAGTGCCTGGAAGTCAATTGCTCAGGATCAGCAACAGAGCATTCTTACTTGCTGTCTCTGAGCTTGAAATTCATTCCCTATGATGGTCAGAGAAACCCTGATATTGATGAGCTTCAGGTCACATTGAAGTCTTCTCTGCTCAATCAAAATACAACACGTAGTCAGTTTATTTATTATTACAGCAGGTGAGTTCCTGTTGAGAGTTAGGACACTGCCAATTGTCTGAGTCGGTTTTAGTGACCAATATTTTTGTATGTTTTTGATTCTGTTGGAAAGTGCGTAACTAGACAAATACTTTAATAAATAAAAGCTGCACTAATAGCCAGTTTGCTCTGCAAATATGTTATTTAGGAAATGAAAACAGGAAGAGTTGTCACCATTACGGAGGTTCATTTGAGGTGGACTGGTAAGAAGTTATAAAGTGTACTAATAAGGGACATCCATGGGAAGGCACAACAGATTATACTAAAGCTGATGGCAATCTGTACATACAAATGAGAGTACATGACTATGTAAGGTTATAATATATCAGCAGGCAACATCTGTGGATGTGCTAGAGGCAGAGTAAAAGGGCTACAGGCTCAGAGAGAAAGAAATTTGATATTTTCTACTCCATACTCATCCCTCCATCCCTGGTATCAAGCGGAGGGCCCCAAGGGTCGGTTTTGTTCAATATCTTCATTAATGATCTAGAGGATCACCCTCAGGAGGTTTGCAGATGACACTTGTGACGGGTTGGATCACAGAAACCCCCTTGGGAGCTGCCACCAGATGTGCAAAGACTACCCCTGCTTCTGTTTTCCCTGCCAGCTCAGGACTCCAGCACCCTGTCTTGCTGAGCCAGACACTCCCGTCTGGCTCCAGACACAGATCCAGGGTCTGAATCTCCTGTCCCAAAGCTGCAAGTTTACCTGAAAACAGCTCACAGTAGTGTACTTGTCTTTAGCACTCAGATGCCCAACTCCCAATGGGGTCTAAACCCAGATAAATACGTTTTACCCTGCATAAAGCTTATGCAGGGCAAACTCATAAATTGTTCGCCCTCTATAACACTGATAGAGAGATATGCACAGTTGTTTGCTCCCCCCAGGTATTAATACATACTCTGAGTAAATTACTAAATAAAAAGTGATTTTATTAAATACAGACAGTAGGATTTAAGTGGTTCAAAGTAGTAACAGACAGAACAAAGTAAGTCACCAAGCAAAATAAAATAAAATGCGCAAGTCTATACCTAATCAAACTAAATACAGATAATCTCACCCTCAGAGATGCTTCAGTAAGTTTTTCTCAGACTGGACACCTTCCAGGCCTGGGCACAATTCTTTCCCCTGGTACAGCTCTTGTTGCAGCTCAGGTGGTAGCTAGGGGATTCTTCATGATCGCTCCTCTCCCTTCTCTGTTCTCTTCCCGCCCTTTATATATCTTTTGCATAAGGCGGGAACTCTTTGTCTCTCTGGGTTTCCACCCCCCTCTCACTGGAAAAGCACCAGGGTTAAAGA